AGTGGAGGGGGGGAGTGGGGAAGGAGGGCAGGAGGAAAGGCAAAAAGCAAAAGATTTTATTCCAAAATCTCAATATGCTTACAAGGGAGTTAAGGATCTGTTTCCTTGGAAACTTGTAGATCATGCCTTTATTTCCACATTTTATGAAAGGTATTACTGTCTACTTTATTATAAAGCAATAACAATATTTTTTATATGTGTATTGTAAAAAATATATGCACTGGAAATTTATATTTTAATATCCAGCATGGAATTTTAATTGTTCCAAAATGCACGCTATTTTGTCAATCTAATTTTTGGTCAGTAAAAATTTTAATTATTCAGCTATTGGGGAAGGTTTTTTTTGTTGTAGTTGTTAGGATTTTTAAAGATATATCAGTGTTGTGTGACAAACTGTTCACTTCTGTTTAAGAAATCCTGATGGCAGGGAAATTCGTAAAATATTTTGGAAGGGGCAGAGTTAATCCTGTCAGTAGTCTTTTGCTGGAGGCTTTTTCATGTAAGTGAAGTATTAGCAAGCAAAGCGGCTGCTTGACTTCTGAGAGTTTTTCCTAGAGCAGCTTTTCCTAGTTTTTGTAAATGTGAGGTTTCTGCCATGCAAATGCTCTCTTACCAAAACTTGACTCTTGTTTGATTGTGGAACTGTGAAAATCAAGAGTTTTTACAAAATTGTCGGTTGTTGTTGGAGCAACAATTCCACAAAAGGAACAAGAGAGTTACTGGTTATGTTAATAAATATTTTTAAACTTTTTTCACAGCTTGAAAAAAGCAAATATTGCCTATGAAAACATGTTTGAAGAAGTGCCCATTGTAATTAAGAATTCATACCTGATCAATGTGATGTTGTGGGAACTGGAAAAGAAATCCGCAGTAGCTGATAGACATGAATTGCTCAGTCTGGCTAGCAGGTAAGTACTTGTTACAATAATGGATGTATTTTTATTCGCTTTCCCAAACCACAGTTTAACACCTTGGGTGAAATCCCAGTCTCATTATAGTCCATGCCTTGACTTTTAATGGGGTTAAGACTTTATGCTTCATGTTCTTTTGCTGAAGGAAAACCTGCATGCTAAAACTATAGCATTAGATTCAGTCTGCAATCTGCATATACCTGCAGTGCTTGCAGTGTATAATCTTTTCAGCAGCGTATATTTCTTCAAGAAAATAGTGGCATTCAGAAAATTCAGGTCAATAGATCTGGAAATAGAAGTAGGTTTTGTTAAATACTCCTTAAGTTATTCTGTAAATGATTTTAATAAAAAATAAGTAGCATTTTTTCTACTTTGTAGCAGGACGTATTTGGAAAAATAATAAACCTTCTACCTGAGAAACTGACAAAAATGCTAAGACTGATGGTCATGACAGCTAGCATTCATGATGTTAGAAATTGTTTAAGAGTTTCTGGCATGATTGCCTCGTAATTTTTATCTAAGAATAACTTTTTGTTCTTGCAGCAGTTTGCCCTGAAAATACATTTGTTACGACACAGTAGGCATGGCCTCCGGCAGCGTGATCGGGCTTTTGATGGTGCTTAAAGCTTACACAGCATAGTACAGTTAATTGCATTATTATTGGGCTGATCAAAATAACCAGATACACAAAATGATGCAGTATCTTGTTGCGTGTGGAATCTGGAGTGTATTCACTAATAGGTTTTTGAGGTGTAACTTTTTCTTTTTATGTCAAGGTATTATCTGTCAAGTTTCTGATCTCCTCTGAGAACCAAGTTAGCTCATTAGCTGACAACTAGTGGCCTCTTTTCTTTTTCCTTTGACCCCCCCCACTATATCCCCTTCGCTTCCCCTCCCCACAACTGTAAGGCTATTGTTAATGGATCTATAGTGTTAGTTCTCCATATGTTGCTTGAGTTAGTAAAAAATTTCCACTCTGTTTTCTTTACTTGAGCTTATGTGGATGTATTGAGGGATCTGATGGCTTTTAGAGAAAGTCGTAAAGAGAGAACAGGTATAGGGCTGAGCTCTGCCAGGGAATGTAGTGAGAGATGCTTAGTCAATAGTTTTGTTGGGCAAAGTTGTGACTTTGCACCTTGGAATTAGCAAAGTGAAGAATTTTTGCCGAGATGCTCAGTCTGCTTGACTTTGCAGGCTTCCTGTCGGGCTCTTTCTTTGTGCAAAGATCATAAAGCTTTTGCCATCTGAGTAGAAGGTGGACACAGGATGTAGATGACGATGATTCTTCACGAGCTCTACCGCTTTCCTGTGTAAAAGAGGGACTGTACTGAGGATACAGCAGGTTTCCAGGTGACCCGACAGCATTGCCCTTGACTGTTTCTATGGGTGTGCTCCTGTAAAAACGTTGGGATTACCCAGCTCCCTTGATCCTAGCACAGGCTGCCACTAGTCACGCAATACAATTCTGGAAATGGAAATTAATTTGAACAGATTGCAAACCACAGTTGAAGTTTTTCATCAACTTTACATCTTATGTAATAACTGTTCCATACTACTGCCCTGACAAAAGATAAGAACTGTACAAATCAATTTCCTTTCTAGAATGATGGTATTAGTAGCCTGGTGCAAACTAGGCTTTTGTGTTGGTCCTCCTGTCAATAAATGGGATGAGAAGTGATCAACAAAAACGTGAGCCCAAAAGAAAAAAGAAACTCCATCGTTTGTTCTGAGGAATTCTTCACAACAGGAAAAAAAGGGATAACTTTTTGCTTAGTGAATCAGTTTCTTTCCAGTGGGTGTCTTCTTGGAGCAGTGCAGTTTTGTTCCTGTCGATGACACAGGTGGAACTCGATTTTTGATAAACCTGGTTAAAAGTGCCTTTCAATTAAGTGCATTGCTTTGAACTTAGCAAGTTACCATCCTATATAGTGGCAGCAATTTCTTGAGCTTATTGAAGTCTAGGATTTCCTGCTAATTGGGAATTAATTAAATAGATTTATCAGTTTTCAGAGATATTTCTGGATTATGTCTCCTAAACTGTCTTTCCTGGCAATGTTATTCTGGCTCACCTGGTCTGTTTGGGTAACTTAAGGTGCTTAGTTTGATTTGAAGGACAGAAAGTTTTGGAAATTACCCTAGCAGGCTTATTTTTAAGGTTTTGTACCTCTTTTTTTCTTATATTTGATAGCTGTTTCTTATATTTGATAGCTGTTTTTAGTTACCAGCCAAGTTACATTCAGTGATATCTTGCACAGGCAAAACTCAGCAGCTGAGTAATTTAAAACATATTAGTGCTTGTTATTCCAGGTAGGGTGACTTACGCTGCCTGCTGAAATTAACTACTTTTTACTTGAATTCAGCTACAAAGATTTCTCTGTCAAAAAATATATGCCCGAAGTAGGGGGGAGTTCAAAACTCCACTATTTTGGAGTTTTATTTGCACTTTGCATTTTCCTTATTTTTCTCTTTGAATAGTTGTGGCTAAAATATTTCAGACATCAACTTTGAATTTTGATGCACATTCTCCTCACTTTGCTGTTGTAGAATTAATTCTGCCTTTTTTAAAAAAAAAAATATTTTTTCTCTTCTTCTTTTGGGAGAGTTGGGTTTGGTTGGGATTTTTGGGATTTTTTTTGTCCTTTGGGAGCATCCCCAAACCTTTTTTAATCTTCTGAAGCAATGGTTTTAGCAATGAAATTATTTACCCATAGTTCTTCTCCTCGGGAGAGTTTGTTTCATCAAGATTCTCACACATTCAGCCACCCACCTTGTCTGAAGCTGTACCTATTTGAGGTGCTTTGTCTGCACCTTAATATCTTTATCCTTTTGAAGTGCATTTGTGATAATTGTATGGAGTAGTTTACTTTTTTGGTCATAAATTTGTACTTCTCTTGTGAAATTGAATTGACTGTAATATTCTGGGGAAAGAAGTTGAAGGCAGAAGAGCACAAGACTAGCAAGTAATAGCAAGTAAAGGCCTTTTTCTCAAACTGTTATCCTCCTGCTCCCCTTAAGGACCGAAATGTCTTGAAGACCTTGGAGTACTGCCAGTCTTTTGATAGCGACTCAAGAATTAAAATCCTGTCAGATAATGTTCCAGATCTTCAGAGAAATAATTACAACCAACTTTCTCATTCTCATCCATCTCTTCCCTATTCTATTGATGATCTAGTTTAAATTTAAAAAAGCTTTTTTGTGGTCTAGCTTCATAATGGGGTTGTTCTATAATATCTCAATTTGTCTCTAGCAGTTTTTCTAATAGTGTGCGTCAGTAGAAGCAAACATGTGCTGAACGTTTACTGCAGTAACATCTACTTGGCAGATATATTTTTCAAACATCAGATGCGATATTTCTGCAAAAGTGACATAAGGAGGGTTACTTTGGCTTTTGAAAACAATATTAACCTTTATACGTTGTACCGCTTATTCAGAAATCTCAGTGTGCTTAACGGATTATTAAAACAATTATGAAAATCTCTAATTTGCAGATGGGGGAAGCTGACAGAGAGAGGGTAAATGTGTTGCCCTAAGGCACACATCAAAGTCAAGAGTTTGGAGCTCAAGACTCCTGCCTTAGATATCTCATTCAAACAAAATCCTCTTAAAAAGAGCACGGGTTGAACTCAGACTGAAATACTGAGATGTAAACAAGTTCTGCGAACTGGTGGGAATGCTACTTAGAAATATTTAATCAAAAAAATGTGCTTTGCCCAGCAGTACTTCTCTAATGCACCCAAAGCTGTTGCCGCCAGTAGGAGAAAAACTGCAAAGGGTGGCACCTTTCCTGAAAATCAGTGACACTGAGAGAAGCCTCAGCAGAGCTGATGGGAAGTGGAGAAAATGAGCAGCAGATACAGGATTTTCCTGTGCTCCCTCTCGCTGCTCCCTGTTCTTATCTTCCTTAGCCAGGATGCAAGCAAAATAAAATAAAATAAATGACGGGTCCCTTTATGTTAATTGTTGGCTACCTTAGGGTACCATCTCTTTCGAACACCTCTGGCTTCGGAACTGTTATGCTCGAAAATTAAGTGCCTGGGTACAGCACAATGATTCAGATGTTGGAGGCTGGGTGCCTCTGCTCCCGCCTGGGCCAGTGCGAGGTAGGTGGGCTTCTCCAAAAGTGCAAGCTGAGGCTCACGAGCTGGGTGTAGAGACAGTTAAAACTGAAGAGCAGGACCTGGGAAGCTGAGAACACGTGAACTGCTGCTTTCCTTTGAAGCTTTAGTTTCTAACTTGAGGCTGTATTTGGGGTGTTTCAGACCTTTAGCGAGTTGTGTGTCTGGAGTCCTTTCTTGATTAAAGATGCCGAAGCAAATGTGGGCTTCATGTGTAGTTCCCCCATGATGAATCCTACAGAAGTGGAGCCAGTTTTTGAGGTTCCAGCCCCAGCTGCTTACATCATTCCTCCCCACTACTCCCATTTCATCTCTATACCCCTCCCACCCTCAGAGATTTTTATTCCCTCATCTGTTTCAGAATATGGCTGTACAAATAGCTTCACGGAATAGTCTGGTGGAAAAAGTCAGGCTCCCACTCTTCACTTCCAGCCTTTCCCTCCATCTCCCTGAAAAAAAAAAAAAAGCCCCAACAGAGGGTGGTTTTGTGTTTACAGTAGACTGTTTCACTGAAAGAGTTTCAAGTGTGCCCACGCAAACAGCTGAATCCATACAGCTGAGAGTGCTGTAATCCTTGGGCAAAGAGAGGAGGGAGAGACAGGAAGATGCTGATGCTGGAACCTCTTAAACTGACTTTGCTGGCAATAGCAAACTGCACCTTTCCTGGCCTTAAAATAGATCTGCCAAGAGAGACTCTCATGGTATGAGCATTCCCTCAGGAAGAGGGAGGACTGCATTCAGGCCTCTCAGCTAGGTCTGTATCCTAGCAGGAAGGATGCTCTCATATAGCGAGTGATCCATGAGTTCAGTAGATGTGCAGTTGTTGCTTTCTCCTTCTGTGGATGCCAAACCTGAACATGGCCAAGCAGAAAGCTCACCAGTGGGAAGAACAAGACTGAAAGGACCATGACTGTAATCTGCAGATTGGGCTGCTGTGGTCAAAGGTTTCTACTTCTCACCCTCAGAGTTACTTGACCTTTGTATTTGATAATTGTTGAACATGGAAACACAAGTAATCCACATGTCAAGGCCTTGATTTCATATCTGCCCTTTTGGGTGAAGGATTATACCCTGTCAGGTATAAGCCTTTACAGCAAAAACGCACAGCACGAGAAATGGCTTTGCAGGCTATGCTTTCTGCACTTTCTAGTCTGTTGGTTTGGTTTGTTTTGTTTGATTTTTTTGTTTCTCTAAACAGACTTTGATAGTTTCCCTTTGACGGTTTGTATGTGTTTGTCTTTTCCTGAAATTTTTTATTATGTCATCCAAGCTACACAGATAAGTCACAAATGGTAGCTTTCTGGAAGTCTTATAGATCACTCACTACAGGTGAGTCATCCTAATAGCAATTCTGGTGAAGGAGTGCTCTCACATCAGGTTATTTCTTCATTAGATGTGTAAAAATTCACATGACGGATACTTTTTGACTGTCCTAACTGTGAGAGAAGCTCCATTATGTTTTTTCTCCTTTTATTATCTATATTTCTCACCAAAAAAATAGTCCCCGTGTGTGCACTTTCTGATGCTTAGTATGATAGCATGTCTGCAGCTGGTATTTTTCTCCCATGAAGATTCACTGATTCCTGAGGTCTGCTGGTCTCCTGGTGCTACATAAGGTGGAGCTGTGTCTTTTAGTTCAGTTCCAGACTGTGCTTGGATCATAACCACTCAGACCTGACTTGTTTCTGATGAAACTAAACTGAAAATAGGCTTTAGGTGGATTCCTACTGTGCTTCAGCCACTAATGGGCTTTCAGATTACTGGACTCCATCAGAACTTGTGATAGGAAACTCCCCTGAAACTCGTGTAGAGTGGACATTGGTTTCTCAGCACCAGCTGTTTTGCTTTACAGATGTGTTCCTCTTGGTCTACACAACTCGCTAATCTACATATAAACGTGACATAATTGACTCCTTTGCTGAATCAGCTGATTGAAATACATCCATTAAAAATGCAGTTCTTTTTCTGATGCCCTCAGAATGGCATGTGTTGAGCTCCACGTTGTCTACGTTTGACTGCCACAAGAGCCTTGTGGGAAAGTGAGTCTTGATGGGGATGTGAGCAGCATTTACTGACATCTTTTTTTTTTCATAGTTTTTTTATTCTTAATTTTTAAATTGCATTTACATGTAGGGGACATATAGCTACCTAGCAGTGTGATTTTTGAGATATGCTCTGGGGAAGTGCACAAGAAAGAACAGACTGAAACAATACAATTTGCCTTCCTAAATCTCACCGGAATAAACTTTGGCTAAGTAAAACTTGCCTAAACTTGTATGTATACATTTTTACAAGTAACTTTCTATTGGCCTTCCTGTTTTTTGAAGAGATGGAGAAAAAAAGGGTATTGACCACATGAAAACCGAGGAAAAAGCTGGTCCTGTATTTGCAGCATACTTATCACTTCATGTCTCTGTTCACATCTGTTTAAGTTATCTGGTTTTAGCCTTTTGTTTCCTGGCAATGAGAGCAAACACTATATTACTGCAATGTCTTAACAATAACTCTCTCTGTTTCTGTATTCTACTGTACTAAGCTGGTCCCAAAGAGATTCACATAAAATCATTCTCTGTAACCAGCTATATTTCACTTGGACACTATCTGTAAAATAATTATGTATTCCTGATGTCCACATGCCCTACAAGGCTCTTAGTGGGTACGTACCTACATAGGCATTTCTGATAATATCCAGTTCTAACATGAACTCTGTATAACATAAACTCTATAAAAACCTAAAAATATGCACACCCCTAGCAATGGCAATATTCCACAGTTCTAAATATTATGTGCTTGAAATATTCAACCAAAAAATCCCCAAGAAGTGTAAAAATAATTGTTATAGTGGCGCCTCTCTTGCTGCTGTGTAGCTGAAGTCCTCTTCACTGTCTGCCCCTGTATGTAACTGAGATGTAAAACTGGCTTGTAAATAAATTCTGGTCTGAAGTTACTGATACAGTCTTTTGTTCACTGAGCAGGCAGCTGAGCTAGTGAAATAGTTGTCCTAGTGCTCAGATATCAGCTACGTTCTCAGCAGGTATCCTCTACTGCCTCAGTACGTTACCAGCTTCTATCTCCAGTTCAGTTCTGTGGGTTTGTGGAGTCATTTACACTTAAAAAGGGACATGCATGGTATTATGTATGTGGTTCTTTTTTCACTTTATGCCTGTCTCTTCCAGTTTAAAGAGTTTCCCCAGCCCACAGGCTGTAGGGTGGTGGGAACGTTTTGTACATGGTGGAAAGAAACTCAAATAAGGTGGAGAAGCAGTGACTGAAGGATATGATTCTGACAGAAGTGCACCTAACTTTTTATTTGAAAAAAACCTCTCACCAGTAGTAGTGGATTTCAGATGAGAAGACTGGGATTTAGCTTTTTGAGTCGTTGGTCTTCAGCCAAGTAGGACTGGGCAAGGCTCAGATCAGAGCCAACAAACTAGCTTCTGATCAAAGGGATCAATAGAGAGCAATAAGTATCCTTCTTTCACTGCACTACCCCGTAAACACGATTTAAGGTGAATACTGTCTCCATGGGCACCAACCTAAAAACTTCCAAAACTTTAACTTGGAAGCTATACTTTAAGTTGAACGTTCCTGCAAAATACTGAATACATTGCTAAAAACAGTTACAACAAAAGTTGTTTAACAGACCGCGTTTGTCTGGCCAAGGCGGTAGATCGCGTAACTGGAACTGGGCGTGCCCAGCCTTGCTGCTTCCATGTTGCCTGTGGTATGGAATGTGGAGCTGGCTGGGCTGGACACAACACTCCCTCTCAGCTGCTGAGATCGAGCAATGTCTGCTGAGCTTCCAGGTGTGATTTGGTAGACTGGTTCATGAGATGGAGTTCTGAGGGTTATTTAACTATCCCTGCAAAGGAGTGGTTACGTACTCGTGAAAAAGCCAGCAGTAACTTGAAACCAAATTCTCTGAATGCATCTCCGGAACATCGTTCGGGGTTGCATATCACAAAAGCATCAAACTTCTTTTTAAAAAAAAATTTACCTGCATCTGTAATATCAGTAAATTCATGCAAGGCACTGTTTTTTCATAATTGAGAGGTTCCCTGCAAAGATCAAAACCCTTAAGTATGGTATTTGCAATGTGGCAAAGATGCTAGAGGAGGAGATGCCATGTAAAGTGTCATCAAATCAATGTATGAGCAAAGATAACCAGGAACTTAAAAGTGTGCAAACTGTGCCATTAGTGCAGAAATGCTGGTCAAGTGACTTAAAATGAATTTTAAATTTTAATTATTTTTTTTTTTAACAAACTCAATCTTTCATGAATATTTCTTGTGTTTCAGTAATCACTTAGGGAAGAGTCTGCAGCTGCTGATGGACAGAGTGGATGAGATGAGCCAAGACATTGTTAAATACAATACCTACCTGAGGAATGTCAGCAAACAGCAGCAGCAGAAACACCAGGTTGGTAACATGGAAAATCTGAATGAGAGAATTTTTTTCCACGAAGTATGGTTTGGGTGGTGTTATCTAAGACAGATGAATATGGATTGAAGCAAGATAAAATTCACACAGAAACGTAGCCATTAAGTAGATTTATACGATATTCAAGTCAGTGGGGAATTATCAAATGGATTCACTTCCGCTGACACGTAGCATGGCTTGATCTTTCTTTACTTTTTTACGTATTTGTTACTGATTTATGATAAACCAAAATCATCGATGAATGTTCTGTAGACACAGGGATTAGAGGTTTAGTAAATGAAATGAAAGACCTGAAAACTAGTGAATTGTTCCAAAACAAACTGTGTTTTAATACCACCACATGAGTAGTGATACTGATGAGGTGCTGCTTTTAATTCCTGATGCCAAAGGGCCTTTTTAAAATACGAAAGAGCTAAGGGTACAGAATTCTGAGTATGGAGACTGACTCTGGGTGGCCCTGCTTGACCACAGGGGCTGGACTAGGTGACCTCCAGAGGTCCCTTCCAACTTCCACTGTTCTGTGATTTGGAGATTGCATTTGATAAATTGGTTGTCTAATTATAGAAGAATGCTGGTGCATAGGAAAAAAACCACTATGAAAATGATTTAAAAGCCTGGAAAGCAGATCTTAGTAAATGCAATGCACGTCGTGATAAATTAGCAAATGACTTGCTTTACTCAAGAAGTACCTGCTTAAAAACATAAATTAGAACTCTTTAATATAGCAGAGATATGGTAAGATCCAGTATCGGCCAGCTGAAAATGGGCCAGGCCACTAAAAAAAATTAATAATTGCAGGTATTGCTACAGAAAGAAGCTAATTATTAAAAAGAATACTCATAGTGAAGTGCTATCTATTTTAAAATCAAAATTAGCTTTTTTTCACCTAAGTATACCTTGAACAGGGAGTATCTTAAGGAAGCAGCACATGATCAGTGATTGTCTCCTGGCTTTCTAATTCCTGAGGACATGCAAGCTTCATGCATGTTCAGAAATTTTTTTTTCCTTTGCTGCCTAATTTGAATAGAAAGATGGCATCCACTTCAAAGGTTTTTGTATAACCAAGGGGATCTATTTATTTTGAAAAGCAGAGCAAAGTAGGTTCCATGGTGTCTCACTTAATTTCTTTACTAACTATAGCTGCTTTAGTAGTGGCTCATTGCAGCATAGTTAGTGGTCTTAACTTCATTTTTAAAATGGAGCAATTGTGATTAAGAGCAAGCCGTTTCAATAGAGAATAATAGGCAGACTGCTGAGAAGTGAATGGGGTAATGCAAAGAAAGAAGAAACTACATGCAATTCACATACAAATATGGGCATTTAAGATTTTATTTTTAACGTTGTCCAAAAACTTGTATTTGTCACTGCGACTGGGAAAAAAAATTACTTCGTTTGAGTACGCCACCAAGTATGAACTGTTTTCAGACTCTTATGCACAGATACACTTAAATGAGAGAAAACACCCTGTACCCTTTGGCTTGTTTATTATAGTTTTTTTGGTGTTGAATGAGGGCTTCAATAGACAAACTTTACAAGTAGTTTGTGGCTGTGAGATATGATTTGAAATCTCACGTATGTGCTTTTGAACCTCTGCAAGAAATGGTCTGAAGAAATGATCAGCCTTAATTTTCATAAACTTCAAGTAATCTACATGGCAGAAGGAGGCACTGAAAACAAATCTGGTTTGGGTTTTTTTTCATTTGTTTTTTTTTAATAGCAGAATAATTTATACAAACTGCTACACTGGTATATACTCTGGAAACCCACAAAGAAATGGCATCAAAGTAGCAGAATATCTAAATAACTGGAATGGGAAAATGAACCATTATGCTTTTTATCAGCCGCCACTTTGCTCTCTGTTTAGAGTTAATATTTTTTGGCTTAATCAAGTTCTTTCCTCATTTCACAATAATATTGTTTTGACCTTTAACTTGCATAAAATATAATATTTCTCGTTTCTATAACTATTTGAGGTAATGGCTCCTCATACCTACATATTCCAAGCTTATTTTCCTTTTTTTGCTTGGGGAAATGGAGGCCTTTATCTACTACAATGTATTATTTCCATCAGATACTGTATTTACATCTATGAAAAAATTTTAAAAATTAACCCCACCACCTCAGTACCACGTAATTTTCCAGTGCCTCACGTATTTAAAATGCTAGCTTGCAGGTGGAAATGCTTGTTACCAGAGAGTTGAAATAAACTGTGTATTGCATTTACATTATTTGAAATAACCTCAGTTCCCTTGAATACGCGTAGTTTTTAAAAGGTACTTGCTGGTTAGGTAAACATCTGAAAAGAGAAACTTTTTGCTGCTTTGGAAGTCCTGTTGCAATTTGTTTGTGTTGCTTTATTTTCAGTACCAGCAGAGACGTCAGCAAGAAAATATGCAGCGTCAAAGCCGAGGAGAAGCCCCTCTTCCTGAGGAGGACATCAATAAGCTTTTTAAACCACCACAGCCACCTCCAAGAATGGAGTCACTCCTCATTGCAGGTAACGCTCTAGCCACCTCTTCAACTCATCTTTTCATATATGAATGTTAGCGTGGGATAAAGTGCAGTTGTTACATTAGAAAACATCTGGGTTTTTCATTGCTAGAGAAGGGCAGTGAAGCTGGTGAGGGCTCTAGAGAACATGTCTTATGAGGAGAGACTGAGGGAACTGGGATTGTTTAGTCTAGAGAAGAGAGGGCTGAGGGGAGACCTCATTGCTCTCTCTACAACTACCTGAAAGAAGGTTGTAGTGAGATGGGGGTCGGTCTCTTCTCACAAGTAACAAGTGATAGGCCTCAAATTGTGCCAGAGAAGTTTTAGATTAGATATTAGGAGAGTTTCTTTACTGAAGGAGTGGTGAGACATTGGGGACAGAACTGCCCAAGGAGGTGGTGGAATTGCCATCCCTGGAGGTGTTCAAAAAACACGTAGATGTGGCACTACAGGGTATAGTTTAGTAGCTATGGTAGTATTGGGTTGACAGTTGGACATGATGATCTTAGAGGTCTTTTCCAATCTAAATCATTCTGTGATTACTGTTGTCGTTATGGTGTGATATTTTGGTAATGGTAGTATTCCGAATACTGTCCTTCACTTGGACTAAGGTAGCAGTTTCAACCTGTGACCTACAGCCCTAACGTCTGAAGTATTTTAAAAAAAAAAGTTGCTAAGAAACACAGCCTTATTGCTGGTGGAGAGCCCATGTAAGTAAGCTTCCACACGCATCTAGGTAAGTAACAGAGGCATGTTAGCCATGCAGATATGCACCCGTGTAACTTTTTGGAAGCAAGCCACTGTATTTAACCAGAATGGCTGCACTGAGCTTTAGATTTGGTGCCTGGGGACTTTCTCCCTTTACTTATCTTACCATGCTATGTAGCTCCTGCCTGACCATCTGTGCCTCCTGGCTTGTGGGAAAGGACTGGACCAGCAGCCAGAGCCTCTTTCTGGCTCCATCCTGAGAGGGTGAAATGTGATTTTGAAGGAGAGATGGAGAAATAAATGCTCCACAGAGTGGACTTTCTGTGTGAACAGGTGTAGGGACTGCTGCAATCACTAAGCTGCTCCCTGCACTCCCTCAACTCCAGAAATTAGAGGGTTCTACAGACAAAGGCAGGAATAAGATGTTTGGACTAGAACTACTGATTCAGAGCAGAGCAGTTGTCTGCAGCCCTGAGTAACCGGTAACATCCTGAGATGCTGAACTGGCTGTTGCAGCAGCTGAGATTTTTACTTGGAATTTCTCAGAAAACTGAGAGAACATCTCTGATTTCTGTGGCCAGAGTTTTAGGGAAACTATCCCCGTTCTTTCTGCAAGCCAAGGTGAATGAAAATATTAACAAGCACAAAATTTAAGTGTAGATCCCACCCACCCAAATTTCTTCAGTCTAGTGGTAGGACATAGCCACAGTTTGGTACTGAAATCAGTGTTTGTCCTGTGCCTCCTGGAAAGATAAAAGTACCTGGAGACTCACACTGGCAACAGAGAGCAGAAAACCTAGGTGACCTGCTAAGTAATCTAAATTTGGAAAATGTCACACAAAAGCAAATCGTTTAACTGTAGCAGGACTTTTGGATCAGTTAGCTGTAAGCTTTTTTTGGACCGAGAGAAAATTAAACTGTAGTCTTGGTAAATTAGTGTACAGAAAGGAGTGAGTCATAGCATAGAATGGCTTAAGTTGGAAGGGACCTTAAAACTGATCAAGAGTGCTTTGATATTAAAAAAAAAACAATTTGAACTGTCACTCTTAAATTTTTGACATGTTCTTTAATTATTATTCCTTCCAGAGCCTTTTAAAAAAATTGTTTTGATAGTTTTTACCAGTTAACAAATCCTAGCTGCATTAAACTATTTAAACATTTGGGTTTAGCATGGCTTAAAAATGCAGCAGGAGGGGTGTGTGTGTGTGTGTACACGTGTGTTTTATGAATGTGATAGCTAAGGATGAATCATCTCGTATAAGAGGAGGAATTGAAAACTATTATACTTAAGGGAAAAACCAGTTTTCAGCCAAAGCAATCTCTTCATTTGTTCTTTTACCATAGTCAGGGGAAGGATTGAAAGCATCCACTTAACTTAGATGAAGTAAAGTTTGTGGATAAAGAAGGAAACTTAGCTCTTTTGTCTCTGAGGCATTAAAAAACTTCTCAAATAGAACATTAAACTGAGAGTTTATTGGCCTTCTAAACAGTCTTAATTTTGATTAAACGGACTTCATGTTTTGCTATTCCTAGCAAACAAGGGAAATAACTTGTAGCAGTGTGTGTATAAAAACGTTTTGATGGGCACGTTTGATTTGTAAAGCACTGACAAGTCTTCATACTCTGGTGATTTTTGAAATAGCTAGTAAAGTGAAATATTAGGTGGAAAAAAAAGGCTAGCAAAGTGTCAAACAGGAATACCACAGTTTTCAATCGGCTACTGAAGAATATTTGTTACAAATATTTTAATAGGGACAGCAGATGTGTAAGAACAGAACTGAAATGCAATCTTGTATTTTTTAGGGCAATTAAACTGAACAATTAATGTGATTAAATTTCCGATACAGCAGCAAGAACTGTTTAATTTTTTTATTGTCCTATGTCTTTCTAGAAAGTGTATGTAACAAATTGTAGGAAAATTAAGGGAGGTTTGAGCATACCAGTTTACCTATTCTGCTAATTTAATTTCTTCTTCTTCTTCCCAAAGCTATTTGGGAATACTGAAAATTCCTAAGCGTAGAGTAGTTGAGCTGTTTTGGTTACTTTTCTCTCTAAATCCTGCATTATTCATGAATGTTTGACTTTTCAAAAATTGTGCTCCAATATGTCTTTCTGAATTTCAAAAGTGACAAGGGTTTACACTTCTTTTTTATTGACAGGTCAAATTAATACCTACTGCCAGAATATTAAGGAGTTCAATGCACAGAACCTGGGCAAGCTTTTCATGGCTCAAGCTCTCCAGGATTACAACAACTGAAGAAACTTCACTGTAGCCCTCAACAGAAAAAGTTATATGCAGTTTTATACTGTTCTTGATCCTTTTGAAAAATTACTATATTGGGAAAAATCTTGTAAAACATAGTCACCTTCGTTTGTGTAGAATTCTACCAAAAGAAAAATAAAGGCAAATTTTAATGATATTTTAGTATTTCCTTATTTGTTGGACCTATTGGATTGGAATTTTCTGCGGTCACTTGGGTTTTCTAAATGTTTGGCAGTTATTCATGTTTAGTCATAGCAAATAATACAGGTTTTATTTAACTTGGAATCTGAAGGAAAACCAGATTATAACAAATGTTCAGTATAACTGACTTCACAGAACAAATTTTAACATTTCCCGGTTTTGGTTGAGGGCTTGGAACCGTGATGTGTAAGTCACAGCATTTGTTGTTTCTTTTTATTTTTTTTATTTTAACCTGCTTAGACAGCCTAGTGTGGTGGACCTTCCATATCACGAATATTGCATAGGCTTTACGTTCAGAATATAAAAAATAGTATTATGTTCAGCCATACCATGCTAAGCTGTGTTCCTATTTTCTTTTGTTACCCACCAACTGGATTGAAATCCAGTGATGCTACTGAAGTCTTCCTGACAGAAATTTCAGAAGTAGTGAACCCAGAGCAGTTAGTGTGGTGTAAATGGACACCACACGTGCTCTGCACTAATTCTTCATCTGGATATGGCCTTATTCCTGAACTCAAGCTAGCTACCTTTTAAACAAAAATGTTAATTTGAAGGCTTAATATGTGGAAACTCACACGTTACTGTTAATGATTTCTCTTTTTTTTTTTCTTGAGTTCTTTCTTGCATGTCATTGTGTGATGAGTTCTGGGAGCCTAAAATGGCTGAAGGAATGTGGCTTGGTCTTTTAAAATAAATAACATCCTCTAAATATGAACTTAGTGTGGAGTATTTCAGCCTCTAAGGTGACTGTTTTGGAAAGTCAGAAGCATATGTGAAAACTGAGATTTACACTAGAAACTTATTTTCTGAAATAAAAGATGAGTTAGGTATCCTGCTACAGTGCCATGTGATTGAGTTTCATTTCCTATAAAAATACTATTCAAACCATGTTAATTTTCTAGTTTTCTGAAGGACCAAAATAACCACCAGGGAACAGAAGTAAGCAGCAGATAATTAGACTGAGACATCTGAGATAGGAAAAAAAACCGATCTTCTGCATAGCAGGGCATAGAAGACTGACTCTGTAGTGACTGTGTACAGAAGGAAGCGGCAGTAACATTATACATACTAAAAAGTCTGCAGAGGAGGTGCTGGCAAAATGAATGCTTGGAAAAGGTTAAAAACAAGCTGTGTGTTTTGAATTAGTTCTTTAAGATTGAGGATGTAATATAAGAAAGAGGGCAGTGATACTCTACTGTGCTGGAGCTTAACAAAGGTGGTGAATTCTACATAGCTAGGTTAAATGTGCTAAATATCAAGTGAAGTCCGTGAAGAAATGTTCAAGACTTCAGTAGAGATTAGTGGCTTCTAAAGGTATGGGTCTGAGTCAGACAGGGGAATGAGATACAGAAGTAGGTGATGTGTAAAGAGATTTTGGAGACGATTTGACTATTCTCTTCTGAATCATACTTTGGTCTTCTGTCATGGTGGAAGTAATTAGACGAAGTGTAGTGGTTTGACCCAGGCTGAAGGCCAGGTGTGCACCACAGCCACTCTGTCACTCCCCCTTCTCAGCTAGACAGGGGGGAGAAAATACAATGAAGGGCTCATGGTGGAGATAAGGACAGAGAGATCACTTCTAATTATCATCCTGGGCAAAACAGGCTTGACTTTGGGGAAATTAATTAAATATATTAACAACCAAATTAGAGAAAGGCAATGAGAAATAAAAGCAGATTTTAAAAATAATACCCTCTCCCTACCACTCCCTTCTTCCTGGGCTTATTTGTTCACCTCCTCCCCCTGAGCAGCGCAGGGGGACGGGGAATGGAGATTGCGGTCAGTTCATCCAATGTTGTCTCTGCCACCACTTCTTCCTCAGCAGGAGGACTCCTCACTCTTCTCCTGCTTCAGTGTCGGGGTCACTCTTATGGGAGACTGGTCTTCACAAGCCTTTCCAACATGAGACCTCTCAGGAGAGACAGTTCTTGTCAAACTGCCCCAACGTGAGTTCACTCCATGGGGTGCAGTCCTTCGGGGGAAACTGCTCCAGCGTAAGTGTCCCGAGTCCTGTCAGCAAACCTGCTCTGGTGCGGGCTCCTCTCTCCACATGCAACAGCTCCTGACAGGAGCCTGCTCCCGAGTGAGCTTCCCATGGGGTCACAGCCCCCTTCAGGCATCCTCACTCCAGCCTGGCGTCCTCCATGGGCGACAGGTGGACATCTACACCCCCATCCCCCCCATGGTCTTCACCATGGCTCAGGGGAATCTCTGCCTGGGGTACCTCCTCCCCCGGCTTCTTCACTGACTGTGGTGTCACATACGGAATCATAGGATTATCAGGATTGGAAGGGACTTTAACGATCATCTAGTTCCAACCCCCCGCTATCAGCAGGGGCATCCTCCACCAGATCAGGCTGCTTAGAGCCCCATCCAGCCTGGCCTTAAAATCCTTACTCTCCTCTCTCTCTGAGTTGTTGTGGTGCAGTTTTTTTTTCCCCAACTCCTTAAATATGTTATCACAGAGGTGTTCTGTCATCTCTGATAGGTTCAGCTTTGGCCAGCAGCAGGTCTGCCTTTGGAGCCAGCTGGCATTGGCTCTATCAGACCTAGGAGAAGCTTCTAGCAGCTTCTTGCAGCAGCTGCCTCTGCAGTGTCCCCTCTCCCCGCTACTGAAATCTGGCCAGGCAAACCCAGTATACGAAGCCTCCCTGAGCAAGGGAGGTGGAGTCAGTTTAAGCTGTTGGCTATAAATGAGAGTCAACAGCTGTAGAGATAAGGAATTAAAAGGGATGGGGCTGTTTCTCCATGCTGGGTTTGACGTGAGCTTTCCCCATTATTGCTATATTTTTGGAACTTCACTTTTACGTGTTCCCTTCCTAATGTGAGCGAGCTGGCAGCTCAGTCACTGTAAGATAAATCTCCCTGCTTATGGGAGAGTGTGGTCGTCTGTCCCAACTTCCTTTTCACCTATAGAAAAAACATAAGCACTTTGCTGGTGTGAAATGGGCTGAGTGCAACTTGGTCTTACATAAATAGCTAGAAAGTTAGTGCTCCTATCGCAGGCAGGTTGGAACACAGATGATCTCTGAGGTCCCTTCCAACCTAAACAGTTCTGTGGTTCTGTAGTTCAAGGAAATGCTCTCTCTGAGGAGTCAAAATAATGAATGGTGCACACTCATTCCACGTCACAAAGGGGAATAGGTTTATCTCTGAGCCTTTCCAACAGTCTGAAATGTGTCTGGTTATATGGACAGCCCTGAGGTTATCTTCAGGACAGGCAACAGGAAAGGATGCTAAACTGCACCATCTGTTTGGTTAACCAAGAAAATATGTGTAATTCCTCAAATATGGTTAACTGCCATGGTTGTTATCAGATACTAATCCTTTATATTAATATTTTAGGAAAATTAAACCAAGGGGGAGAGAGCTTTTCTGTAATCCAAGCATACTTGGCGTTTTCTTATCTTGACATCAAGATATGGACTGGTATTCCTTTCTACTTTTGGCATTTTCAAAGTCAGACCAAGCTCCATCTGATCTGTAAGCTTTCTGCCACTGACTACTCACATGGAGGAAGCCTGGGCTGCTTTCCCCAGTTATTCCACATAAGGTTATCATGTCCTTTTTTCTTCTCCGCTCCACATGATATTCCCTCAAATACTTAACGTGTTTTAGAGGCTGAATTTGTACTCCTCTCTCAGAGTTGGGCTTCTGTGCAGAGCTGAACAGTGTTAAGCTGCTGCCAGATAAGAACGGGTAATGTTTGTGGAGAGGTAAACAACTGCACCGAGTACAGAAGGTCTGGGCGATGTTGCAGGTGTCCTTTCTGGTGCTAACAAAGAGATTGGATGGGATTGGCAGTGGCAACCAGCAACACTTATAAAGAACATCTGACATACTTGTGTTTATGCTCTTTATGTTGCAAATTCCTCACCAAGTCATTAATTAATCTTCTTGGTCAGTATTGCCTTAGTTTTTGCCTTCTGGTGAATCTCTGATATTGACAAATCACTGGTCACAATCTGAGACATCTTTAAGAAGTAAACACTGTGTAATGGTTCTCCCTTGGTAGTCAAAGGACTCCTGGTGCTGTGTTAAGAAGTCATTGGAAGCTGGTGATGCAAAGAGTATCACCAGATGAAAAATGTGCAGTGTGTGCAGGAAGAGGTACTGAATTGCTCTCTGTGGAACTGCTTCTTGTCCAGTTTGCCAGCCCTAGGCTGAGAGATACCTCCCTCATCATTTTCCATGCCTGTGCATTTTCTTCCTCTGGATTTTATGCTTCCTTTAAATTTCCTTCAGATTTTGCCCACAGCTTGTTGCTTTTTCAACAAAAAGAGCATACTGCTCTAAATCCAATGCCTCCTGTCGTTATGTGCTTTACTTTTCCGTGAATTCTTCTGGAAAGCTTTGTCTGCATTTGGAAAGACAGTTTAAATTTAGTGATCTGAACATCGCATTCGTAGTGGAAGTTTCAGTTGCTCAGGTGTCAGATATGGTCTCGAGTTCATCTTTCTCATGCCCCTGGTCTTCAGCCTCAGGGAACTGAATGCATTGGCATAGCTCAAGGAGGTGGTGGTGCTGCTCCTTGGGACTAGTCCAGAGGGAGTGATTCAGAAGCTTTTCATCCCAACCTCACAACTGGAAAGAGCTTTATGTGAAGTTGGGTCTGTACTTTATTTTTTGATCTTTTAATTGACGGAACAGATTGCTGTTGGCACAACTTATCATATGCTGAGCGGTAGTGAATTGCAGAGAGCGGTAGAGGATGTCTTTAAAAACAACAGCTTTGGCAGAAGACTCCGTAGTGAGAAAAAAGTTAATGTCTTATTTCAATTAAAGCAAACATTTATGTGTGAAGAAAAATGGCCAGACCCGTTTTACAATGATATTAAAAGGCACTTGGGTGTCAGTAAAATAAACAAAGAGGAGTAGCAGTGTATTTATCCATCTAAAACACAGCTAAATATTTTAAAAGGTTTGTAAGATGAGAAAGAATGTATGCAACAAGGA